ACAATGAGTGGAAGCCCAAAATCTCTGTAAATGTTTATGAAAATTAATAAAATATAATTATAGAAAAGAAAAAAAAAGATTCGGCTACTATAAAATTTATAGACAAGAAAAGTATGGATAAGCATAATTTTGGATTTTCTGTTTTAGTTCTGAATTCACCAAACCTTTGATTAAGATGTCAAGTATATAATTGTATTGCTGGGCTTAGTGTGCATTTAAACTATGGAGAGTGACCTGTTAGAGCCTCATGGAATTAGATCAATCAAGAGTCACATTAAACAAAACAAAATAGAGTAGAATGGAATAGAATCAGACAAAGAAGAAAGCATTTACAACTACAGAGCTCCTTGGGGCATGTTGTAAAATTAAACTGTATGTGATAAAAAAATTAAATGATAGTTATAAAACTCTCAGAAAAACCTCTGAGCTGTGTGCTTCAACTGGGTGAATTTAATGATATGTAAAATGTTTGTAAATAGAACTGTAAAAATTAGAGGAAAAGTAAGTACTATTTTAAAAAAATCTTTGTTTTCAGCACATACTGGGAACTAGGGTTTTTTTTGTTGTTTTTTTTCTTTTTTTTTTATTAGATGGATTTCCTACTATGGAACTTAGTAAAAATGGTTAAAAAGAGCAGACTCAATCCTACCAGCAAGTATTACAGTTAATATAGTTGTTACTGAAATATACTAGTATATCAGATATTAAGATTTCAAAATTTGATTGAAGTGCATTAGTAAAACTAGTACTAAAGCTACACTAACTGTAATACTCTGCCTTCCACAGCGAGAATCCTGTGAGGTCGGCTGCAGTAGTGCAGAAGGGGCATATGAAGAAGAAGTACTGCGTAAGAGAACTTACACAATTATTATTAAATATCTACACTATTGTAGGGACTTTTGCTAACTTAAGGATGGAAAAAGGATTACCATTGAGTTGACTCACACTCACAGAACCATATCTTAATTTGTTATCATTACTTGCTGCTCAGAGCAATTGTTTTGGCAGCAAAGATTGTGAGCATTAGATGGGACAAACACACTCTCTTCTGGGAGATAGGTTACATGTCAATGAAATAATGTTTTCTCCCCAGAAAATGCAGACTTTCCCACAGCACCCTTTGCTTCTTCCATTGGAAACCACAGTGTGACATTACGGTGGAAATCTGCCAATGTTTCTGGAGTGAAATATATCATTCAGTGGAAATACACGAAATTTCCAGGAAGCTGGACTTACACTGAGGTATGTAATACTGTATATGTACATCAGCATGTATTTACTCTGTCAGATTATTAAGAATGTTACATTACTTAGTATAGTTAGAAAGATATTGAGAGTGGATTCAAGCACAAGAAGAAAGTTTTAATCTATGCCACTTTCAAAGCAAAATGTTAATGCTTAACCTTTTGTTTTACGAGAACAATATAATATTGGACCTATGATAGCATGTCAATTCTTCAGCATTCCACTGCGTGACCACTCATCCTATTGATCCCTACCCATCCATGTAAATGTTGTTGTTGTTATGTGCTGTTGAGTTGCCTGCAACTCATAGAGACCCTATGTACAACAGCCCTAAACTCTGCTCTGTCCTGTGCCAATTTCACTGTCTCCAATACATCTATTCCCATTACCCCAGTCAATGAATCAATCCACCTCATAGAGGGTCTTCCTCTCCTGCACTGTCCCTCCACCCTCCCAAGCATGATGTCCCTCTCCAAGGACTGGTCCCTTCTTGCAACATGTCCAAAGGATGCCAGATGAAGCTTCAGAACCCTTGCCTCCAAGGAGCAGCCTGACTTCACCCTCTCCAGGATGAACCTGCTTGTTGTCTTAACAGTCGATGGTATATTCAGTACTCTTCTCCAACACCACAGCTCAAAGGCATCAATTCTCCTTCTATCCTCCCTAGTCATAGTTCAGCTCTCTGACACATAGCAAGTGATTGCAAAGACCATGGCTTGTATCAGGTGCACCTTATTCTCCAGACTGACATTGTTGCTCTTCAGTACATTGGAGAGGTCCCTAACAACAACATCCACATAACAGGATTCCAATTAAAATGGAAGCCTGGGAAAAGAGTCTCACAGGCAGTTTCAATATAGAAATGTTTCCATGGGTTATGCCTTGAAATGTGTCTTCCCAAATGTATGCTGGAATCATAGCCCATAGAACTGTGGATTTAATCCCGTTTGGGAATTATGTTATGCTGGTGAGAGCATATCATTATAGAGCATGTCTTAAACCTCATCAGTTTTGGAAATAAAAGGATCAGTTAGGCACAGAGATAATCAAGTACAAATGACGGGAGTGGGGGGCGGAGATAAATATGTCACATGGAAACACTCAAGGAACTGTGGGACCCCAGAACTTGAAAAGCTAAGACAAGACTTCTCCTACAGAGCAGACAAATAGAGCCCTCACCTAGAGCTGGTGTACTAGGTTAAGACTTGTAGGCTCCTAACCTAGAGGGCTCTGGTGGTTTAGTGGTAAGACATTGCACTGCCAATGCAAGGGTATGTGGTTTGAATCCACTAGCTGCTCCACAGGAGAAGGATGGGCAATCACCTCTTGTGAAATTTATTGCCTCTGAAAACCTACTGTTAGGCCAGCCATGGGTGGTATACAACAACAACAGCAACAAACTATGAGAAAATACATTTCTGTTCACTAAAGCCACCCACTTGGGGTATTTCTACTTCAACAGCACTAAGGAACCAAGACAATCCAGGACTAACTCCATTTTAGGGATCATGAGGAAATGCAGAGAAAAATATTCCCAAGATACTGAATATACAAAATATAGAAAAGTTTAAGAAAGGGAAACCTTGAGGTAGTTCCCAAGAGTGAAATCCACATATTCTCTTATTTTGAAGAAGAGAATTTCTGTGTGAATTATGTAGATCGTTATGTAGCTGTGTCAGCTATATGCTCTAGGTGTCCATCGGCCTAGTGGTAAGAAGCTTTGCTGCAATTCCAAAGGCACATGGTCCAAAGCCAGCAGCTGCTCTACAGGAGAAGGATGGGCAATCTCCTCCTGTGTAACAGCCTCTGAAAACCAGCCAGAGGGTCAGCTATGGGTCAGTTCTGACTCGAAGCTACACAACAACAATAGACTTTGAGTGGCCTCGTATCCAATAGTCCACTGTCTTTTACAAATTAATCTATGACCTGAGTCACAGTGTATGATGGTTATGCACTAAGTACTGACTATTGATCCCTCATTTATCTAGGCAGTGCCCAAGCTCTCATATGTGGTTAAGTCCCTCCATCCCTTCACTGAATATGTTTTTCGAGTGGTTTGGATCTTCACGGCCCAGCTGCAGCAGTATTCCCCGGCAAGTCCTAGTTACAGGACTCATCCTTATGGAGGTATGATGTTCGCATGTTACTTATGAAATATGAGATTATTCCACAGTTTTGGTTTAGCTCATTTCTTTCCTAAACAATGAAATAAATCTATCCCTTCATCAACTGATCCACCCAACTACTGCTTACATATGTGCTAAATGGTGTTCTAAATGCATAGGATATATGCTTGGCTCACCATTTAACTGATAGGCAATATCATGATGTTGTTGTTGTT